TTTTTTGGATTACTATTAAGTCAATTTAAAGATGCAAAAAAAACCCAAGGCACTCACTGGTTAAAATAAAATGCCTTTATTAATTTACGGCATGTGTTAATGGACAATTTACAAAGTCCCGACGTGGTTCAATCGCGACGTGGCTTTCCTCAGGGGACAAACATTTTCATTTGAATTAAATTAATAAAGGCGTTTTAGTTTAACCAGTGAGTGTGGGGAGATAGAGAGAGAGAGAAAAGGTGGAGAAGCCCCACTGTGTTCTGTCTACTGTGTATTATCCTCTGGAGGTCCAGGAAGCGCTCCTTTTGAAACTTTTTATACTACTATAATGTCAAGTTGGATGCATTTTGTTTCCCATCAACCCAAAACATGCATCAAAACAAAACTGACACTAAACTGGGACCAAAGCAAGAATATAACCTGGACTAGACAAGAACTAATCCAAGACTAGACCAGGACCAAACCAAGTCTCCATCAAGACTAAACAAGGCTCAGACCAGGAGCTAAGTGCACGCTCTAAAATTCTACGATAAGAACTGGAGATGCTGGACTGTTGTTGATCACCCTGCGACAAACAGGTCCTGCCACGCCCCCAACACTTGAACTGGCCCTATGATATGAGGCAATCTTTAAAAGTTGTCATGGCCTATTTTTTTTTAGAATATAATAGTATAATACAAATCCAGTCTTTACTTTGCAAAAAAAGGCAATAAGAGCAATCACATTATCACCTTATAACGAATCAACCAATGTGTTATTTATAAACCTTCAAACGCTGAAATTTTATGATTTAGTCGACCTTTATACTCTGAAAATCATGTTCAAAGTAAACAACAATCTCCTGTCAAAATCTTTACAGAACATGTTCAAAATCCGAAAGAGCCAATATGAGCTCAGAGGCACGACCATGTTTATTAAAAAGAAAAACAGAACAAACATTGTGAAATTTTGTAAATCTGTTAAAGGGGTGGAGCTCTGGAACAACTGTACAGAAAACCTAAAATTGGGCACCAGTCTCTTTCACTTTATAAAGAAGTTTAAATGTTTATCTCTGGACTGATACATGAATTCTGATACTTAGTTTGTGCTGTAGTACTTTGTTGTACTGTTTCTGATTTGTTTGTTTCCTCTTGCTGTATTTATGAAGATGAACTGGTGTCAAGATGACGCTCTGACAAAGGAATAAAGGCATAATAAACTTAAGCTTCAGCCTGCACCTTTTCAGTCTGTGTATGTTAAATATGACTGTCTGTGAATTAATGTCAAAATATAGCTGTGACAGAAATAAATAAAATAAATAAATAAATAGCTTTTTGGCAAATAATAACACGTCAGCATCTTTCAATTTAAAAATGATCTTTATATGAAGTATTTATATTTAAATAATTATATGACGTATTTACATTTGCCGCCAAATTTTTCGTCACCTGACAAGCTCCAGATCAAACCGTGACAGTTCATGCACGTGCAGAGTACTATGGTGCGGTTAAGGACAGCAAAATGGCGAGTGTTAAAGTTCAAAAATGGCTAATGTAATGTAATGGAAAAGTTGACGGAGAGTGCCGAGTTTTCAAAGAACAGTGGACGAACTATTGTTATTTTTTTGTTCGTTGTAAGGACTGTGCAGTTGGTCTGATATGTAAAGAAAGTGTGGTGGTTTTCAAAAAATATAATCTGCGTTGTCAGGGTCGTACAATTCTGTTATATGGCCCCTCATCACAGACAAGAGCAATAATGAGCAATAATCAGGTGAACAAAAAAAGTGAACCACGTGATTATGTAAAACAATTGGGGTAGGACTCCATAAGTTTTTTTTAAACTTCATCCTACTCCTTTTGAGCACCAGGTCCCACATATGTTCATGTACATATCACTATTTTGGTTATTGTTTTTGTATTTTGTTGTACCTGGCTCAAACAAATAAATGAATGAATAATGTGGTCGCAAAGGCTGCAATTTTTGAAGTATGAAATCTCCTTTGTTATTCTGCACAAAAACTGCTAACCTTGTACTTTAGATCTATACAAACATGTGATTATTTTTGTCAATTCTTTTGCACGTGTTAAGAGTGTGAACTTCGTACTGACTCCTGTTTTGAAATTAGACCTTTACTAAACCTATTGAATTAAATACATGCTACGCCTAAGGGACCTTCTCCAGATCTCTATGAGGAGTACATACCCAGGTTTTGCATGTTTTTTTCTAATATGAAGAATAAAATTATGATGTATATTTATTATGTACACATTGCAAACACCTGGTGAGTGGTATGACATATTTCGTTTTTTGCTATGCTCTAAGAAACTAATTTAAAATCCCTGCAAATTATGTGTCCAAAAGTTTTTAAAGCTCTCTTAAAGGTACACTGTGTACATTTTTTGGTTGGGGATCAGTTACCTACTTGTTTCTTTGGATATTAAACAGCTCTAACTTACATTTATTCAGTTACAGGTGGTTTTATAGCTCAAAAATACCTAGAAAAACAGGTATTCTGATTGTGAGCGGGGTTATATCTCCACAGATCTGACCCGTAACATGGTTTGGTTTGGTCTCCGTGAAGATAGAAAGGTTTAATTCCATACTGTGAAACATGCAGGACAAAACAATGACAATCCCAATTTAGATTACAGTGCAGTGTTTTTCTACAGTGCTATTAATAAAAGTCACCTTGATACAATCTGATATATTGTTTAATTGATGCCTTTCTCGCCACTTGATACGTATTCGAGCGTGCACGTGGTGAGATGGGTAATTGCTGCGAATAAATTTTAAATAGGAGTTATTGTATCCAGTTACTTCAACTAGGTCATCTATTTATGGCACTGCCACTTTTGTGTTTAAGATATGCAGATGTAAAAGATTAATATAATGCTGTAACCCACTTGATATATGTGTGATCATGTGGAATTAATTTACCCAATGAAACGCAAAATTATTTCAAATTATGAGGCAACTTTGATAGAAAACAATAACTACACGCTGTTTGTATTGAAAGAAATTAAAGCTGCACTATGCGACTTTCTGGTAGATGGTCCACCACCTACTTGTGTCCATGGAGATGATATAGCTTTACCAAAAATATTACACAATATGGCATTAGACTTTGTTTATTTATATTTTACTTTTATAATTTATTCAGGTACAGATGCCTGGAAAAAATATTTTAGCTTCTTATTTTGACCACGCTCGCCTCTCCATAGATCTGACCTGTAACTGGCCCAGCGGCATCACCTACTTGTCACCATGGAGATGATGTAGCTTTAACTGGAATATTGAACAGTGTGGCATTAAACTTCATATTTCGTATTTATTCATGTACAGATGCCTGGAAAAACATCATCGCTTCTTATTTTCACCAGGCTCTCCTCTCGATAGATCTGATTTGTATCTGGCCTGGCGATGTCACCTACTTGTCTCCATGGAGATGATATAGCTTTGCCTGGAACGTTGCACAGCATTAAGACTTTATATTTTGTATTATTTATATATTCATGTACAGATGCAAAAACATCTGAGCATCTTATTTTGACCAGACTCGCCTCGCCATAGATCTGACCTGTAACAGGTTGGTGATGCCACACGCTTGTCTCCATGGAGATGATATAGCTGTAACTACAATGTTGCACAGTATGGCATTAGACTTTATATTTCATATTTAGGTACAGGTGATTATAAAAACATTGTAGCATCTTCTTTTGACCAGGCTCACCTCTCCATAGATCTGACCTGCAATTGGTCCAGTGGCATCACCTACTTGTCTCCATGGAAATGATATAGCTTTACCTGAAATGTGGCACAGTATGGCATTAGACTTTATTTATTTATATGACTGTATGTATTATTGATCCACGTACAGATGCCTAGAAAAAACATCTTAGTTTCTTATTTGGATCAGGCTTGCCTCTCTCTAGATCTAACCTGTAACTAGCCCGGTGGCATCACCTACTTGTCTCCATGGAGATGATATAGCTTTACCTGGAATGATGCACAGTATGGCTTTAGACTTCATATTGTGTATTTATTCAGGTACAGATGCATATACAAAAACATTTTAGCGTCTTATTTTGAAGGATCTCGCCTTTCCATAGATCTAACTTGTAATTGGCCCGGTGGCGTCATCTACTTGTCTCCATGGAGATGATATTGCTTTACCTGAAATGTTGTACAGTATGGCTTTAGACTTTATTTATTTGTATGTTGCTTTTATTATTTATTCTGGTACAGATGCGAGAAAAAACATTTTAGCATCTTATTTTGACCGAGCTCGCCTTTTTCTAGATCTAACCTGTAATTGGCCCGGTGGCGTCATCTACTTGTCTCCATGGAGATGATATCGCTTTACCTGGAATGTTGCACAGTATGGCATTAGACTTTATTTATTTATATGACTGTATGTATTATTGATCCATGTACAGATGCCTAGAAAAAAACATCTTAGCGTCTTATTTTCACTGTGCTCGCCTCTCCATAAATCGGACCTGTAACCTGCTGGTGATGTCACACGCTTGTCTCCATGGAGATAAGAGAAATCTACACCATACTCTGTGGAGCACGCCAGGTAAATCAAGCAGGTGGCGTTCCCTAAACCAGAAAAGTCACATACTGCCTTATACCTCTTATAAAAACAGATTATAATGAGCAGCCTCACCCTAAATTACCTCATAGAAACTGGGTTAAATCACACGTAGCCGTAATTGTCCCGTGAAATATCAAGAGTAGCCACAGAAAGTGCAAGTAATTCCCCATCCATAAACAGGACAGGCGCAAAAACGTGGACGCGCGCAAACACCCCTCGCCGCCGCTCGTGCAATCTGCGGTGACATGCTGTAACAATTGCGTGCCGTGTCGCGCAAAAAAAATCCCACTTTTGCGGGTTTCTGTGCGGTGTCGCGTTAAGGTCACTCCGCTGGCAGCCTGAAATCCCCTCTTTGTGTTTATACATCCGGGTCCCTCCTGCTCGCAGCCCATTCCCCCCATTTAGAAGCCATTTTGGACACAGATCAGTAACATGCATGTAAACCCGACCGACCTCCCGACGCTGCGGTGCTATCCTACCCACCAAGAAGTGACTACAACCTCGCAAAGAACACCCGATTCTCGCCTCGTATGATCCAACCACTTCGCGTATGGCTTTTGCTCTCCACTTCCGACGCAAAATGTTGCCAATACTGACGGAGTAGCGCGCCCGGGGAGTCAAGCTATCGCCTCGTATCTTTTCACTGCTCCTAACATTGTTGCAGGAGGGACACGCGTTGGTTGCTGTTTGCTGTGGCTGTCTGTAGTGGTAGTCGTGGTGGTGGTGGACGGGAACACGGCTAGGCTACAGGCCCAGGCGTTCGCGTTCGTGTTTTTTTGATCCAATATCTACTGATGTTTCGGACTATACCTGAGTTTTAATGTGCGCCAAGGAAATCGGGGGGAATCTTTGTCCTGGTTTTAACGCGGAACATGTCTCTCTCATGGCTCACTTGTTCACTTCTCCTAGGAACTTTATGTGCAGGTAAGCCTCTTATAATCTTAAATTCATCCCCACAAACCATAACATTTCACGTAGAAGTCTTCGCTTGTGTTCCTGTGTGGAATCGGGTACTTTGGGAGAGAGTTTTACGCGCGGTAGTTTGTTCGTTTGCAACTTTGGCGTGGACTGGACAAAACCTGGCGATCCGTCCAGCCATTTGTTATTCCCCTTTCGCTTATAGGTCCCTTCTACACATTTCACCTCGACCACAACCCCCCGATCTAGACTTGTAACACTTTAACACGACCACAAATGTCATTATTATTTCATTTTTACACGCGTAACTGTTGCATTGCCCTTCGCCTTTTCTTTCTTTCCCCCAAATTGTGGCAGAAATAGATGACAACAGCTGCACCAACATCCTGAAACATTATATAGGCTACCTCTTGCATAGCTCTTGGACTCTTGTTTGTGGTTAGGAACAAGGGTCTTTCGAAAACATCCTCTCTCTCGACCCGTTTTTTACGCAAATCGATGAAAATGGCGAAAGATTTGAAAGCGATTTGCCAGTGGTTATCCTGTCAAGTTTGGGAGCAGTTTTATTGGGGCTTTTCCAACAATTTGGAAGCACGTGAAAGCAAGGGGGAAGATTGTTTTCGTTTTTGGGGTTTTGACACCGATCCAAATGTAATATTGAACACGCGATATAGTTTCAGATTTATTATTTATAGCGTAAAAATCACATGATCAATATAATTTTTCTATTTTTCTTTCTTCGTTTTGATTTTGTGACACTGTTGCCAATGTTTTGATCACTGCATTTGCTTAATAATTTATTTATTTCTATTCCCAGTATTTGAAATGTGTTGAAAATAACAGATATACTATACGAAACTGTATTTTGTCACTAATTTAGGCTACCACTGTAAGTTATATATGTTTTAATGGATTTGCTTTGCTATTATTTGACATTTTTATCAATTCAGCAGGTTTAATTTAGTTTTCCTGTTTTGGTATTGATTATTTATAGAGCAATCATGTTTACTAAATGTGATGAATACTTTAATATTTGGTTTCTTATTGTTGTAGGTCACTATAGGGGATAAATACCAAAAGTTAAAGGTTTAAAAATGTGTATTATTTGCAGTATTGTCCAGTTAAAGTGTATTTTTTATTGCTAAAACGTAGAAACGTAGTCTTCAGACCCTTTTAACTCCCTGTGCGTTACAAATACCTGGATCTACAGCATACATTTATTTACTTAACCTACATCTCGTGATAAAAATTTCATTGGAGGTGGCCAGCTGTGCGTTGTGCCAAATCTCACTGTGCATGGCCCGGCCTATATAATGCCTTTATGGTTTATAGATTAGGGCCCCCGCGACCGCACTATAGTCCTTTACGCTCGCATGTAAGCCGCTTCCCTTTGAATTTGTTGCTGTTGTGGTGGTGTAAAGCCTCGCTAAGTGACACGGCGAAGGGGGTTGGGTGGATGATCTTGTAGTAAAAGTCCTCCCCGGATCACGTGACCAAGCACAGATATCAGAAATGCCATCCCGACTCAATGGACCATTACGCACCTCTCTCTCTCTTTCTCTTTCTTTCTCTGTGGCGCTGGTGCCTTCATTTCTATCCATCCCTGTGTCTTTCTTTCATTTCTTTACCCACTATTGCTTGTATGGCGCCTGTTTCGTGGGTGCAATAATGTGTATATATATGGTGGACAACTCTCCCTCTTTCAATTTCCACCTCTTTCTCGTTCTTTCTCCCTCTCTCTCGCTTTTCTGTGCGTGCATGTGTGTGCGCTTGTGTGTGCGTAATGGGTTGGTGGGGGTTACATTGGGGGGGATGGGCAGCAGCGGCAGTAGCTCCTATAGGCAGGGATTTAAAGAGACAGGGCGCTATTTTTCAAGGCCCCTGCGAACAAAGATCAACGTAGAATGTCCGTGGGATGTTGTGAATGGAGTTTTCTATAGGTTGTCTTTTTAGGGAATGTTTTTATTGACTGACAATTGCGTTTTTGTGTTTGACGTATTGAGCCGAAACGTGGATAGTGAAGTAAAAAGCATCAAAAAGCATCATGTTTTACCTTTTAGAATATATTTATTAGCACAAAAGTAGAATTATGTCTTTTATAGATTCTAAAAGCATGCATATTTGCTAGAAAATGATGTGAAATGACACTGAAATTGCTTTATTTATATCGCACATTTAAAACAACTTCAGCTGATCAAGTACTTCATTTAAACAGAAGAAAAAATAGATGTACATACAACACAATACACCTGAAAACTACAGTAAATCACCAAGATATTCTGTTTAATAATGATAATAAAATAAAAATGTTATACTGAGATACATTGTTGGCCTAAGGTGCTTGTTCTCCTAGTGTAATAGTAGGTTATAATTTACTAAATAACTTTATGAATATAAATTTTTTGAAATGTATTGTGTGAATTTGATTACATTTACTACTTTGTCCTTCGTACTGTCTGTAATATGTGGTATTTAAACTCCTAAATGTGTTTTCGTTAATCTAATCCATTCACAAAAACACATCCAAAATGTGAGTCAGAAATGTCACACGGCCTTGTTCATTCAGTAAAAACTACTACAGTAAAAATAATTATTATGGCTTAAATAAATGGTACCATTCATAAATTTTGCCACGAACTAGAGTAGTTTATGAAAATTATGTTTTTTAGTTGAGATTGACCTCAGACCTTAAAATTTTGAGAATCTGTTTCTTTTTTATTTATTTGTTGAATTGGGTAACGAGACAAATTCTTATGTATTGAGATTTTTAAAGCTGTTTTTTACCAGCTGAAGATAGAAATGTGCGAAGGCTTCTAGAAAAGTTAAAGGTGCACTGTGTAACTTTTCTGGCACTTGCGTTTTTTCCTGAAATGAAGTGAACCTGTCAAGAGTAACGATGCAGGTTTTTGTGGTAGTTGTAATTGAGTAAATACAAGATATACCGTACTTGTTTAATGACATACTGTGGAACATCTTAGGAAAAGCAATAACGTCACTATGGAGACAAGCAGACGACAGACCCTCCACCAGAAAAGCTCCACCTTGTACCTTTTAAGTGTATCGATAAAGTGACAAATTGTTTATGCTTTTAGTGACATTTTGATTTAAAGGTGCACTATGCAACTTTTTGAGTGGAGAGTCTGCCAACTGCTTGTCTCCATGGAGATATTATTACTTTGCCAAGAATATACCACAACATGACACTCAGCTTGTCTGTTACAGGGGTATTTTCATTACATAAAAGTACACTGAGAAGTACACATTCTTATTGTGAGCCTCTCCACAGATCTGACATGTGTGGGAATATTATAAGCATAAACCAGATGACGTTTAACAGTTTTTTTTATTAAAATAAATTATTCTACTTTCTGATCTGTTATATAGGGATGTAACAATAACCGAAATATCGTGATATCGTATGGTCAAAATACTCACAATAATATTATGAAGTACAAGTCTCTTTGCTTAAATTAAGAGTTATGGTGCAGCAATAGCTAAAAAAAGACAGAGGGAACTACATAGACCATGATCCTTTGCTCCATTTCAGTGCAGATTACAAGAAATAACAGTTCTAAGCACTTTTAAGTCTTGTCAAGGCATTTTAAGAGGTAAAATAGTTAATAGTTTTGTTTACCTCCACAAAATATCGCAATAAATATCGTACTGTGAGATGAAAATACCGTACAATATTCAAATATACTGTGACGATATCGTATCATGAGACTTGGATATCGTTACACCCCTAATGTTATAATAATGTAAATAACAATTATATCGTTTCCTCATCGCAATTATTCCTGGAGTTGTGTTTTGTTTCATTCACATGTTGAACACACAAACCTGCCTATTTTTATTTAGGCTTTTGTTCTTCTCTCAAACTGAAAACACTCGTGATGCCGTGTGGTTATACAGGAAGTGCTCCACTCCACACACCTTCACTAGTATCATTTACTTGACTTCAACCCTAGAAAAGTCCATCTCTACTCGACAAAAGGTAAAAGGTGTGCGTTAACTTGAAAACTACCACTTCTTGACCTATTACTCAAATGAAAAATGTGAGTCAGATGTGAAAGAAACGAAACACAACTCAATTTTGCACAATGTGAAACCTGAAAATCGGATACTTATCAGTTCTAAAACTAGATACTTATTTGAGCATGTTTTGATATGAAAAAAGTCACATTCACAAGATGGAAATGAACCTTTTCTGAATAGTTTTAGAATGATCTTGAGCTGTAAAAGAACATTTTAAGAGCACAAAAACTAGTATATGTCCATGGACCACTATGGAACCTACCTGGAACACTGAGGGATTACACAGATAAAAGTTTAGAAAGTTTTTAAGAAAGTAGTTTTTGCCCTTTTAGTAGGCCATGGCATTTACTTCACACTTCCTTTTTTGAAGACATAGACGCAGATATAAAAGTCTGATTTATAATGATTTGATGTAAAGAAAATGACATCTTTTAAAAAATGTCTGTAACATTCACGAATCTCTCTATTATCTAACTGCATAAAAAATGAGCTTTTTTCCTTTTATTCATTTAGGACGGATGTAAGATAATGTTACATAAAACTGGCGTGCATCAAAAGGAGCAGACGTAGGTTTAAATCTATATTATCTACCTTCTTTTCACACAAACTCAATGCTTCAAACTTATTACATTCTATTTTTAGTCATAAACTGAGGCTCATTCACAAAGTCTCTCTACTTGGAACAAAGATTGAATGACACAGCAAATGACATTTAGTATAGATCCTTTTTACTACACGAGGTCCATTTAAAAAGCAACCATTAACTGACTTAGAAATGTTAACCATATGGCTCAGAAATGTCATCCACATTACTGAAACTAGATACTCATTTGAACAGGTATCGATTCTAAGAAAGTCGCCTACACAGGACAAAAATGAACCTTTCCTGAATATCAGAACAAGTATAAGAGCACATGGAGTACTATAGAGCATACCTGTGCAGCTGAGGGTCGGGATGTAACGATATCCAA